TTTTTTTTTTTTTTTGTGGGCAGCAAAGCAAGGTTTATTGAGTAATAGCAAAGTGATAGTACAAAGCTCCCAAGGAGGGGGGATGGGACCCAAGAGGATGGCCCCTGAACCACCCACTTCCAACAAAGCAAGAAGAACGGGGTGGTGTTTAGATACCGACAATCTTCATTGACAGCAGTAACAAAAACAGGAGAAGACACCGACCAAGGGCCAGAGTTGGCTTTCACGCCTAAATGCCTGGTGACTGAACTGGGCCTACCTCTGACTTGGAGCAATCTTCTGAGATCAATGTAAAAAGCTACATTCACTGCACGCCCCCCCCCCCCCAAAAAAAAAATGTCCTTGGAAAACCAGTGACAGTGTGGTATTGTAATGCCTTCTATATGATTCTGCATAAAATAACACTTTCCTTACTAGTTTTTGTCTAAGTGTTCAGTGGGAGGAGAGACAATCCTGGTTTGTTTAGAATATGTTCCCTTCTGGGCAGACATCTGACTTTTTATTTCTCACAGACTTTTTCTATAGGTGTGAGCTCCTTGCCACCCCGCCCTCAGCCCTGCTTTCTGTCAGGCCCTTCACTTCCTTGACAATACTTCTAAAAGCTGTGTTTCAAGTGAGGTTTTGCAATCTAAAACAAACGATGTGTACCTTTTTGTTTTTAAAAATATTTATTTATTTGAGAGAGAGAGTGCGAGCGAGCAGGGGAGGGGTGGAGGGAGAGGGAGAGAATCTCAAGCAGACTTCATGCTGAGTGCGGAGCCCTACCTGGGACTCAATCCCACGACCCTGAGATCATGACCTGAGCTGAAACCGAGAACCAGATGTTTAACCAACTGAGCCACCCAGGTGCCCCACGATGTACACCTTTTGAAAGATAAAAGAATCGGAGCTTCCTCTCCTCTCTGCCCTCACCTCCCAAGTGCCCACGTAACCCTGTTTGCCCCCACCCAGCCCGCGGCCATGTAGATACAGGCCAAAACTCACCACAGTTCTATTTCTGATTAAACTGCAAAGAACATAAAAGTATATTATTACGTGTGACATTTGTCATAGGTTTCTCAAAAATAGCTTTTATCAAGTTAAGGAAATTCCTTTCTAGGTCTAGTTTGCTAATTTTTGTTTTTAGTTTTATCCGCAGGTATCTGAGATGTTATTAATGTGGTAAATTCCACGGGTAGATATTTTAGTGTTGAACTATCTTTAACTAAATCCTACTTTCATATGTATATGTTCATAAACTGCTGGATTCAATTTGTTAATATTTTGTTTGAGATTTTTGCCACTATCTTTATAATTAATTCCTTGCATTTTTAAAAATCTGGTTTAAATACTAAGAACTTCCGTAATGTCATCTTCCTCATGTGACTTGGCCAGATATTTCAACTTATTGTAGGGAAAAATTAAATCTTCATCCACTATAAGAAGTCAATAATAGATAAATTAAAATTATTAGCCACAAAATATCAATATAAGAATTACCGAAGAATAAGAAAGTAAATATGAGAAGAAACTTCCTACAAGATTGAAAGGAGTTGCCTCTAGAGAAAAGAGTGACAAAACTGGGAACTGCTTGATTTGCTTTCGTTTTATTTTGTTTTGTTTGTTAAAATAACCCTTTCAGTATTACTTTTCTTTTTAAACCATGAATATGTATTACTTTGATAAAAACTAAGGAACACATTTAGGTCTCACAAAACTCAGAGACATTTCTGGTGCAGAATCTATTTTGAAATTTGTGACATCTTTCTTTCTTTTTTCTAGTGAACATATATTGCAGTCGTGGCTTGTTTATCTAAGCTTTTTCCAACCAGTACATTTTGCTCTTCTCTGTCTCTGAACATGTGAAGCTTTTCCCCTCCACCTTATAACATCCCCCAAAACTAGACTTCTCCCAAGCAAATGTTGGAAGACATTTTTAACTACACTCCCCCACCACCACCACTATTAGAAAGCATCCAATGAAGTAATCCTTATAGTCATTTTCAGACTTGAAGGACCATATGAAGGACTTCTGGTCTGGTAACAGAATTCCATAGAGGTCATGCACTGGTTGGTTGAGCGGTTTTTTTGCATCCGGTTGAGTGAGAAGGGCTGTGCTTTGCTTGGACAACTCATTCAGGATACATGATGGCTGCTGGAGGGATCCGTGAGTGATGATGCTGTCAGGAGGCACATCCTAGACCCAATGTGGGCTGATTAGGAAGGGCTGCCCTTCATAGACACTGGTCCACCATCAGTAGTTCATGGCAAGCCTGACTCTGGAGAAGAGAGAATACCTGCCATTTGTAGGATTATCATTTTAAATCAGGAAGCAGACTGATAGAAGGTAAGCTGCCAACCAATCATGACACAAAGTATTCTTTTTTGATTTGTTTCTTCTTCTTTGCAGTGGAAATGGGAGTCTCTCTCTTTGTTCTCTGTTAAAATAGTCAAGGCAGTAGCTTTTGAGTTTTGTGGATTTTTAAAAATCACCGCTGTTTGCTTGCATATTTGTTTTACCCTGTGGCTAAGATGGAAGGAGGTGACATTTTCTCTAAATTTGCATATTTAATCAACATTTCAGATTCCTTGCAGCAGACTGTTGCTCCCTTCTATCTATGGTTGCTATTGTTATTGTTGATACAGTTTGAAAGAGTTGAAAAAGTAGCTTTTAGCTTGGTGAGGTACTTTTCATTGAGAATTGAGGCCACAAGTGGCTACCATCTTGGAGCCTGTGGGGGAAATTCTTAAAATCAGGATTTCAGACTCTAAGGATAAATCTGCTTCCTTCTGTTATTTGTGTTTCTTGTCAAGTTTTTGGAAGAATTTCAGACTAACCTTTTTAATTCTGGAGGCTGGCTGGCTGTGGGATTTGAAGACTGTGATTGAGTTAAGAGGATGGATGCTAGATAATAGTATTAGGAATGGTGAGGTTTGGGGACTATATTGACATTTGGCTTCTGATTGGATTGGAAAAGGGGCAATTGTAGTTGATGTGGCCATATTATATTTGATTGGATTAAAGTGTGGCTGGTTGGATGATCTAATTGAAAAAGGAGGTGGCCAAGCAATCTGATTTATGTTATATCTAATAAAGGTCATCATACAGGGAGCCTGGAGAGAAGAAGGTATTGGTAACTTTGTGTATCTGCAGGTGGTGGTGGCTGCTGGAGATTTTCTGTAGGAGATGACCTTGAAGCTGATCTTGAGGGCTGGCACCAGGAAGAGCAGGGTTCTAGGAAGAGTACGTCCAAAAGGAACAGTTTATGAAAGGGCATCGTGTAGTCAGGAACAACTGAAATGTTCCCAGTGACCGCCCCGGGGTGTGGAGCATTGGGAAATGAGTGGGTGGGTTTGGTGATTAGGGACCTGGTAGGAAAAATTTAACATTCTAGTTTGACCTTAGAAGAGAGAGTTGGAGGAGATTTTCAAGAACGGGAGTGACATTATCAGGTTTATTTTTATTTCTTATGAGGATCACTAGATTGTGTATAGAAGATAGAAAAGAATGAGAATATACTGATGATGGGACACCTATGAGGAGGATTTAGGTGGAGAAGAAAAAAAGCACAATTCCTGCATTACGGCCAGTGGTAGGAAAGGAGAGAAAAGGAAAACATATGAAAGATTTTTTTTTTTTTAAATTATTTATGTGTGAAGGACAGTAGTCTAGGAAAACACCTGGGTTTCTTGTTTGGAAACTTTGGTGAGCATAACACCACATTATTTTCTTCTTGGCATGTAGGTGCCATATTTGACTATCATAACAGAAAAGGTTTCTTCTTGAGGTTGTGCCCACAGGCATCTGTGCTTTCAGGAGGGGCTAGCTGAAAGGCTGGCATAAAGTTCACAGCCCGTTTTTCTAAATGTGGTCCCACGAAGCGCTGGTTTTGAGAAATGTGAACAGCTACTCTGTATGCAGAAATGCGGAATAATCCAAAACTTTTGGGAAACATGAAATACTATACCCCTCTTGGAGAGTCATGGTGGAAACATATCAGAGACTCACAGTAAAGAGACTCTTCGAATTTAACTCAGAATTGCCCACAGTTACTTGAGGTGAGAACCCTTTTTTTCACAGAACACATATTTTGGGGGATCTAACTGGACTGAATGCAGTCTTTATGTTATGAAATTTGGGATGGGGGCGGATTCGATTATCCAAGAATCACTGTGTTTGAATCCGAAGACAGAACTGTATCCAGCGGTGTGCTGATAAAGGTTTACCGACCAACCTGGGGGAGGCGGGGGAGGTAGGAGAGAGAAGAGGTGTTAGAGATACAGGAGGAAGCACGAAATAGTTATGCTGGGGAGCAAGACAGCAGACTCACCGATGGAGCATGATAGAATTACCAGACAGTTTTGAGTGCCCTTTGGAGGTTTGAGGTCATGAACTTAAAGTGAGATGAGCCCGCAACAGCAGTGCTATTTTCTCCAGCTGCCTGTGTTTAGGAGTTGAGAAGACGGGGGCTAGGTTTAACCAGGATGAGAGCTTTTCCAGGCAAGAATAACAGGAGGGAAAGGAGCATGCGTGATTGGGAATCTGTGCAACCTCTGGTGGGTAAGGAAGGAGTAAGCACAAGCGGGTGTGATGATAAGGGAGAGGTGCTGGGTCTTTGGATCGGAGGTCTTGAGCTATCAGAGGACAGTTGGAGTTGAGGTACCAGAGTAAGTAGTTTGAAAATAAAGGAGGTGACTGAGTTCCCATTTGGGAGATGGGGCACTTGCTGGTAGTGTAAGAACTAGGGTGTGTCATCAGAAGAGAGGAGGTCTAGGTGTCAGGTGGGTTCTGTTGACGACATCCAGGATCAGGATGGTTGGAGGATGGAGGGGGAAGGCATTTGAGCCGGGTGCTAATCCTCAAGGATTCAGGAGGACGGGGAATTATGGAGATGACAGCAATAGCTGGGATAGCATCACTGGGTTGCATGAGCTTCAAGGGAGCTGGGAGTTAAAAAAAAGAAAATACAAGAAATGTTTTCGAAACCGCAAAGCCACTCATTGCACTTTTAGACTTTAAGATGACGTAGATGCCAGAGGAAAGCAACCTGTACTTTAGGGAGCTGCAGGGAGAAATGGTCTTCTCAGGGAACAGCAGGCTGCCAGTGTGAGACAAGAAGGTAAAAGGGAAGGTTCCCAGAGGTGGCTGAAGATTTAGAAGAGTTTGCTAATGAGGTGCTGCCTTCTAGAGGGCGGAGTGGCAGAGTTTAAGAGGGTGGGGATAATTGGATGAGACCCTGTCTGGAATTTATGGGGGTGAGGGTCCAGAGTATGATGGAGCTGTGGTGCCTCGGGCAGGTTGAGACTGTCCCAAGGGAGGATGGTCAGCTCCAGTTGAGTCCAGTAAAATTAGGGGAGGCCTCACTCTGGTTGGCTGAAACACCAAGAAGGCAGTTTTTTTTTTTTTTTTTTACTTAGATCTCCTCTGCCTTCTCGAGTTCCCCAGATGTCCTGTTTTCCACAGCGAGCGGGGCTGTACCCACACTGCTTCTGAGTGCTTTAGCATGGGGCATAAGGCCGACTCAACAAACCCTCACTGCAGAAATTATTCTTAAGGGACAGCAACTAACATGGTCCTGCCTCACTCTTAACACATTAATGGGAACTTAGCTAACATTACCACACTCTAGGAGAGTACGAAAAGGTGTTTCTGTCAGACTCTTCTCCCCTCCCTCCCTTGCATCCCCAAGAAATGCTCTGCATCTGATTGAGGGGACAGGTGCCTGTGCCCCCAGGGCCAGCATGGGCATTTTCCTCTCAGACTCTGCTTTCCACTGGCCAGCTCACCCGAATCTGAGCCACGGCTGGCCTGCCTTCTTGGTGCCCCGACTCTTGCATGTGTGTGCTTGATGGGGTACCTGGACAGATGAGGACACCTGGACAGGGAAGAGTTTGCTCTGTAAAACCACCCTCTCCACGTGCAGCTCTCAAAACCCAGCCTTGTACTGTCCCGTATGGGGGCTCCTCGTCACACACGGCTGTTTAGATTTAAATTAAATTAACTAAACTAAAATAAAAAGACAGCACCTCGATGGCACCCAGCCACATTTCAAGGGCTCAGTAGCCTCATACGGCTACACACATTGGTCAGCACGGCTACACACATCGGTCAGCACAGCTACAGAACATTTCCATCGTCTCAAGAAAGTTCTATTAGAATGCACCGCCGCGAAGTATTCATTAAGCTGTTATTCTGGTCCCTTTCTAACTCGGGCGCTTTTCATTGCTGCAGAGTCCGGAAGCCCCGGGCGTTGGGAAGGTCCTGGAAGCGGGCGTGTCTGCGCGTGCGCCGAGCAGCGACCATGGCGCAGTACAAGGGCACGATGCGCGAGGCCGGCCGGGCCATGCACCTGATCAAGCAGCGGGAAAAGCAGAAGGAGCAGATGGAGGTGCTGAAGCAGCGGATCGCCGAGGAGACCATCATCAAGTCGAAGGTGGACAAGAAATTCTCGGCTCATTACGACGCCGTGGAGGCCGAGCTGAAGTCGAGCACGGTGGGCCTGGTGACCCTGAACGACATGAAGGCCAAGCAGGAGGCCCTGCTGAAGGAGCGGGAGAGGCAGCTAGCCAAGAGGGAGCAGCTGGAGGAGCGGCGGCTGCAGCTGGAGGCGCTGCGGGAGAAGGAGCGCAAGCAGGAGCAGAAGCGCAAGATCTGCAGCCTGTCCTTCACGCTCGACGAGGGCGACGCGGGCGACGCGGACGCGGCGGCTGAGGAGCCGCCCAGGCCCGCGGGGCTGAGCAAGAGGAAGAAGAACCTGGGGAAGAATCCAGACGTGGACACGAGCTTCCTGCCCGACCGCGAGCGCGAGGAGGAGGAGAACCAGCTGCGTGAGCAGCTGCGGCAGGAGTGGGAGGCCAGGCGCGAGAAGGTGAAGCGCGAGGAGATGGAGGTCACGTTCAGCTACTGGGACGGCTCGGGGCACCGGCGCACGGTCCGCATCCACAAGGGCGGCACGGTGCAGCAGTTCCTGAAGAAGGCGCTGCAGGGGCTGCGCAAGGACTTCCGCGAGCTGCGGTCGGCCGGCGTGGAGCAGCTCATGTACATCAAGGAGGACCTGATCCTGCCCCACTACCACACCTTCTACGACTTCATCGTCACCAAGGCCCGGGGCAAGAGCGGGCCGCTCTTCAGCTTCGACGTGCACGACGACGTGCGGCTGCTGAGCGACGCCACCATGGAGAAGGACGAGTCGCACGCCGGCAAGGTGGTGCTGCGCAGCTGGTACGAGAAGAACAAGCACATCTTCCCCGCCAGCCGCTGGGAGCCCTACGACCCCGAGAAGAAGTGGGACAAGTACACGATCCGTTGATCCCTGAGGCTCCCCTGAGGCTCCCCTGAGGCTCCCTGTCCTACCCCTCTCCGGTCCTGCAGAGCCCTGGCACGCGTCGCCTTCGCAGCCCCCTGGTGGCCTCCTGCTCACTCCAGGGCAGCGACAACCAGCATAGGAAACTGATTTCTGTACCCCGTAACTTAATTTGGTGACCTTAATTTCTTGCCCAAAATTGAATAAAGAACGGAGGGTTCACATTATTCAAGTGTGGTCGTTCTATTGCTGATGTTATTTTGGGGTGTTTGGTTGTCTGGGGGGTGGGTGGGTATTTTTAATGTTACTGTGTGGATTCATTATTAGGCTCTGTTGAGGTATTATTGAAACCATCACTGGGCACACTGTGGGACAGAATGGGAATGAGGGGTGCATTTTTGACCTGGGTCACAGTGTTAAAGCAAGTAGTCACCAGCATGGACTTTGGAGCCAAACTGCCTGGGTTTGATTCTCAACTCAGCTTCTTCACTTGCTGTGTAATTTGGGACAGATAATTGAACCTCTGTGCCTCAGTTTCCTCTCCTGTAAGTAGGGATAAGAATATCATTTACCTCGTAAGATCCATGTGACGATTAAATGAGTTAATATTTGTAAAGCACTTAGAACTCAATAAATATCGGCTATTGTTCTTCTTATCGTCCTGGTTAATTTATTTAAAGAACTTCTATGACCCATTTCAGAACCATGTGAGGGCAAAGGTTGACCTGCCCATAACTTTTCCCAAGATCAGCGGAGGCGGAGGGGAGGTGGCTCACAAACTGGGGGAGCAGCCCCCTCTTGAGTGGTCCTTAGCTGGGTCATTGAGCCGCAGGGGTTAGGAGTTGGTTAGTATAGCCTAGGGACGGGATTACTGCTATGCCTTGTGCCTCAGGCTCCAATATGGCCCTGCACAGTGTTGTTAAAGATCTGGTCATTATTTAAAATTTTGATAATTTTATTCATTGTGGATTTCCTTGTGTTAATGTTGATTTTTTAAAATATTGTGTTAGAATATTTATCTTAAGATTTATTTTTTTGAGAGACAGAGGGGGAGGGGCAGAGGGAGAGAGAGCGAGAATCCCAAGCAGGCTCCACACTCAGTGCAGAGTCCAACACGGGGCTCAGCTCACGACCTGAGCCAAAATCAAGAGTTGGAAGCTCAATTGACTGAGCCACCCAGGCACCGCTAAAATATTTATCTTAATTACTGAGTTTGGGGGTGTTTCCACCCCCTCCCCACACCCTATTTACCTTAATGCCCAAGGCAGATGCCTCACTCATCTTACCCCAGTGCCAGCTTGGAGGGTAAGGAGGGACCCTTCTTTTCACAGAGTTCTTGCCTCAACCCATAAACAAGAATTCCACCAGAATGTTGGCCCTCTAGGGCAGTGGGTCCCAGCCTGGCCTGCCCATTAGGATCATCAGGGAAGCTTTTAAACCATCCAATTCCCGGTGATACTCAGAGCCAGGATCTCAGTGGGAGGCAGACATTAGCATGTTTTGAAGCTCTGCAGTATTCAGTGTGCAGTCAGGTTTGAGAACGAATGTGTTAAGATTGCCTTCTCTCTACCTCTTACTAAATCCTCTGCTGAGATTCCAGGCCATATGCACACCTGGGTCAGAGCCCAGGACAGGCTGAGGACCACCAGGGTGGACTCTGGTTTATTTCAGTGGCGTGTCAAATGGTACCCAAAGTGTGATCCTTGGAGTGGCAGTGTCAGCACCTGGAAGCTTATTAGAAAGAACCACAGGTCCCACTTCACACCCACTGAATCGGAATGTGTGGTCCAACAAGATCACCAGGTGGTTCATATGCACACTAAGATTTAAGACTGCCAGACTGTGGCTGGCTACATGTCTGCTCTGTAATCTGCAGTTCTAACATGTTAACTCAAGACCTAGACTTAGAGGGTACTAATAAGTAGAACTCTGCATCTTTGGTTGTAGGTCCAAGCCACATTTTCTAATCCAGCTTTAATTTAAACGTTGATATGCTGACCACAGTCCAACTCCTGCATCTATTTCTTAATTGGCTTGGTGTTGCTTAGATTTACCTTACTTTGTTCTACCATGCATGACAAAACCCCCAAAGTAACAGTGGCTTAAGCAAGCCTATTTCTTTTCCTATGCAAGCCAAGAGATAAATTTGCATAGCATCCGTCAAGGACCCAGGCCGCTTCCATCTCTTCTTTTATCCAAGTGGCTTCCATACCCACAGTTACATCATAAGCCAAGATGGAAGCTCCAACTCCAGTCACCGCATCCACATCCCAAGAAACAGGAAGAAGGTAAAGGGAGAAAGGGAAGTCCTAAAGGCATAAAATGGGTCTATCTCTTAAGGATACCTGTAAATTGACAAACAATAATTTGGTTTAGATCCCTTTTGCCGGAACTTGGTTACTTGGCCACACCTTGCTACAGGGAAAGCTGGGAGATATAGTCTTTTTTTGTCAATTTTAAAATTTTTTTTCATTTTTTTCATTTTTTCAATTTGAGTACAGTTACAATGTTATATCAGTTTCAGGTGTACAACGTAGTGATTCAACAATTCTAACGTTACTCAGTGCTCATCATGGTAAGTGCACTCTTAATCCCCTTCCCCTATGTCACCCATTCCCCCCCAACCATCGGTTTGTTCTCTATAGTTAAAAGTCTGTTTTTTTGGTTTGTCTCTTTTTTCTTGTTCATTTATTTCTTAAATTCCACATACAAGTGAAATCATAGGGTGTTTTTCTTTCTCTGACTGACCTATTTCACTTAGCATTATACCCCTTACATCCATCTATGTTGTTGCAAATGGCAAGATTTCATTCTTTTTCATGACTAATATTCCATTATATATGTATATATATGGAACGTGTGTCTGTGTGTATATATGTATGTGGTATATACACACACCACATCCTTTTTATCCATTCATCTATTGATGGACATGGGCTGCTTCCATAGCTTGGCTAATGTAATGCTGCAATAAACACAGGGGTGCATATATCTTTTTGAACTAGTGTTTTCATATTCTTTAGATAAATGCCCAGGAGTGCAATTATTGGATCATATGGTGATTCTGAGGAACCTCCATACTGTTCTCCACAGTGGCTGCACCAGTTTGCATTCCCACCAACAGTGCACAAGTGTTCCTTTTTCTCCACATCCTCACCAACACCTGTTGTTTCTTGTGTTGTTGATTTAAGCCATCCTGACAGGTGTGAAGTGATATCTCATTGTGGTTTTGATTTGTATTTCCGATGATGAGTGATGTTGATATTTTTTCATGTGTCTGTTGGCCATCTGGATGTCTTCTTGGAAGAAATGTCTGTTCATGTCTTCTGCCCATTTTTAAATTGGATTATTTGTTTTTTTCTGGTGCTGAGCTGTATGGGAGATGTAGTCTTGAGTTGAACTGCATCCTTACTGAATTTCTGCCTTCTGTGTCTGTCCATTTCTTTTTTTTTTTTAAAGATTTTTTATTTATTTATTTGAGAGAGAATGAAAGAGAGAGAGAGAGCATATGAGAGAGGGGAGGGTCAGAGGGAGAGGCAGACTCCCTGCCGAGCAGGGAGCCCGATGTGGGACTCGATCCCGGGACTCCAGGATCATGACCTGAGCCGAAGGCAGTGGCTTAACCGACTGAGCCACCCAGGCGCCCTGTGTCTGTCCATTTCTGATAAAGAGTTGTATAAGTCTCCAGCTATGATAGTGAGCTAAGCATGATAACCACTACACTATGGAAACTTAATTCCAACTATGATAGTGGATTCATCTATCCTTGCAAGTCTCTCAGTTTTTGCCGCACCTACTTTGATGCTCTTTGTTAGGAGCATGCATGTTAAGGATTGTTATGTCTTCCTGAAGAATTGACATTTTGTCATTATGTAATGCCCTTCTTTATCCCTGATAGTGTTCATTGCTTTGGAATCTGCTCTGTCTGAAATTAATGTAGCTACTCCTTTCTTTTGAATAGAATGGTATATTTTTTTCTCCATCCCTTTACTTTAAATCTATATGTCAATATTTAAAGTGGGTTTCTTGTAGACAATGTATAGTTGGGTCATTTTTTTTAATGATTTTATTTATTTGAGAGAGAGAGCAAGAGAGAACACAAACGGTGGGGAGGGGCAGAGGGAGAAACAGACTCCCCGCTGAGCCTGATGCAGGGCTCTACCCCAGGACCCCGAGATCATGACCTGAGCCGAAGGCAGACACTTAACCAACTGAACCACCCAGGCGCCCCGGGTCATTTTTTTTTTTTTTTTGATCCACTCTGACAATCTCTGTCTTTTATTGTTGCATTAGGACCACTGATGTTCAAACTGATTATTGATATGGTTGGATGAATGCCTACATATCTGTTGCCTCTATTTTTGTCTTCCACTCTTTTTCTGCTTTTTATAGTTTTAACTGAGCATTTTATATAATTCTATTTTCTCTCCTTTCTTGGCATATCAGTTATAGTTTTTTTAAAAAAACTTGTCTTAGTGGTTGCCCAGAGTTTGCAATATACATTTACAGCTAATACGAGTCCACTTTCAAATAAAGTTGTATTGCTTCACAGGCAGTGTAGGTACCTTATAATAAAAAAGTAATCCCAGTTCCCCCCTCCAGGATCCTGTATCATTGCTGCCATTCATGTAACTTACATAGAAGCATATGTAAGCATATATATATATATATATATATGTATGTGTGTATATATATATATACATAAGCATGTATGATCAAATACACGGTTGCTATTATTTTGAACAAACTGTTATCTGTTAGATCAATTAAGATTAAGAAAAACAAAATATTTAATTTTACCTTCACTTATTCCTTCAATACTCTTCCTTTATGTAGATCTGAGTTTCTGTCCTATAGCATTTACCTTCTCTCTAAAGAACTTCTTTTAACATTTCTTACAAGGCAGGTCTACCGGGGGAAAAAAATCCTTCAATTTTTGTTTGTCTGAGAAAATCTTTATTTCTCCTTCATTTTTGAAGGATAATTTTGCAGGTTACAGAACTGTAGGATGGTGTGGGTTTTGTTTTGTTTTGTTTTTCTCTCAACATTTTAAACATTTCACTCCACTCTCTTCTTGACTGCAGGCTTTCTGAGAAGTAAGATATAATTCTCTGTTCCTCTATAGATGAGTTTTTTTCCCCTTTGGCTCATTTTGGGATTTTTTTCCCTTTATCTTTGATTTTCTGTATTTTAAAAATGATACACCTAGG